TGTTTTGATGTGGGTTATGACCAGTTTTTCAAAGCATTTAGTGACTATCGGGGTGAGGGCCACTGGCCGATAGTCATTCAGACCAGTTATTGTAGAGCACTTTGGGACTGGTATGATGGCAGCAGTCTTCAGGCAGGTGGGAGCTGTTGCCAGTGTAAGTGAGGTGTTAAAGATGTCTGCCAGCACCTCGCAGTTCTGATAAGTACAGTCTTTCAGCACCTTCTCTGGGATGTTGTCTGGGCCGGGTGCTTTGTGAGGGTTAATCCTCCTGAAATTACTCCTTACTTCAGCTGAGGTCACGCTGAGGAACTCTTCTTCTGGTGGTGAGGTGAGCCTGGTGCTGGGTGGTCTGTTCGGGTCTTCAAAGCGTGCGTAAACCTGTTGAGGGCATCACGTAATGATGGGTCTCTAGGGCATTGTTCACTTCTGCCTTTATAATCTGTTATACACTTAATGCAGGGGGAGTGGTAGCGCAGATGTTAGAAGATGGGCCTGTGATCGGAAAGTTGCAGATTCAAGCCCTGGTACCGTCACCATCAAAATGTGGGTGGAAAAGGTGGAACACCTACACCTCCCTCCACCCTCATTTGCCCCACTCTGGGCCCCTAAGCAAGGCCCTTAACCCTCACCATCTGCTCCCTAAACAGGTCTCTCTTGAAAATGAGTTCTTGTGGCTCATTGCAACTAACTGTATAAATAAAGTAGATAAAATGCCCCTCCACATGCTCCATGGGTCTTGTGGGGTGAATTGACCCTGGATCCTCTGTGCATATGGGGCCTTGGCCCTCTTAATACCAGCAACCAGCTCTTTCCTTGTCCTACTCAGCTCCTGTGAGTTTCCAGACCTGAAGGCAATGTTCCTGGCTTCCAGCAGGGTGCACACCCCTGCAGTCAGTCAAGGCTTCCTGTTCTGGTAACTCTCAACATATCTGATGGTGGTGACGTCATCAGCACATTTACTAATGTACCCCAGGACTGAGGATGTGTATTCCTCCAGGTCTAGCACCTCCTCATTTTCAGCAGCTTCTCTGAAATCCTGCCAGTCTTCAGTATGGGGCCACTATTCTGTATATATATATATATATATATTCACACAAATAAATACATATATATTACCCCCCCCCCCACACACACACACACACACAGGAAATACACTGCATCTTAAAGTAATATCTTAAGTAAAAGAAAACTTGATGCTAACTTTTTAGCGAACAGCTCTTTGAAAATCACCTTAAAGGAGCCAAATACTGTTTTTTGTTTGACAGTCTGTGGTATATTTTGTATAGAATCAGACAAAGAAACTGAAGCAAATTTTAGCTTGTTGTATCACAGAATAATGGCAAACATTTGACAGTGCAGCATATTTAATAAAAAGATGAGTCATTTCTTTGTGTTGCATCATTTCCATGTTTATTATATGACAATGTGTTTGGTGAACACCAACATTGGACGCCAAGCTCCAACACTCAGACACTGAATGAACTACAGCTTTTTTTAAAGTTTATAAATGGGTGCAACTTTATAATACACTGTTCACAGCAATCGTGTTTATATACAATGCAAAATTATCTGAATAGGAAAGCAATGCACTGGTGCAAAAAAGGCGTGGAAGCACAAAAGTGTCAGTCATTAATTCACAGGTTGAAGGAACAAAGTAGATTTTTGTGTGAAGGCTGCTGCAGTGAGGTGGTGAGCGTATGATAAAAGAGTGAAAGTGTCACACTAACGCAGTCTACGATGCAAAGTTGAAAGAGGCTACAGATCGTGTAGCCTCCCATTCATTAACAGGTTATTTCAGGTTTGTTCCCTGGTCAGAACCATTCTACAATCAGAAACAGAACTGGAAACCAGAAGACCAGTGGACACAAACATTTAGGCAGAACAAGTATTTTAAATTGAATCGTACATTCAGTGTAAAAGTTTGTGAGTGCACCAACAGAACTTTGGTTGGCTCAAATGTGATCATGTTAAAACATCTGATGAAGAGAAGAAGAAAAAAAAAGACAAAGCAGAATTATGTTGAACATGTAATGGAGCAATCCTACACACGTTTGGGTTTAAATCAAAGTAAGATAATACACAGAAAGTGGGGTGTTCACCCCCACCCCCCATTATGATGCTTCAGCTGCTCACACCAAGATAACTTGAGAGGAAGGTCTGATGACCCTCCACCCTGTACTGCACAATAAATAGTTTTTACTTGAGTTATTTGAGTTCTGACAATTATTGACACATGAAAATCCTTAAATTCAACAGCATCGGCTCTAAATATTTCCACAACACACAGAATACCAGAACATATTAACACAGTATGGATTACAGCTTCAGAAATAAAATAGTAGCATGTGGTGTGATGTTCAGTCCCCTAAAAAAGCCTTTAGACTACATTGAGAAGAGCATTGTTGTATTTTTATAACAGGTTTAATAATTTGGTAAGTTTTCCTTGCATGCGAGTGTAAAAACCCACCCCCTCACTGAGCATGCTCTGTAGGCTGTCTGACCTGAGGCATGCGAACGAGTCCACTTCGAGTTCAACGTGTAGATGGGCTTAGAACAGGTTCAGTTTCAGATTCAAGACCAGTTTGAGTGAAATACAAGGCAGAGTTGCTAAAATAAAATAAAAGCAACAAAGGGATTACATTTAACATCTTGCACGCAGGGATTTTTAACAATTAGAGCCATATGCTTACAGACAATCCTGAGGTATGTCAGTGCTCTGTTGTCCTCAATCGAGTTATAAATTAAAAGTGCCGTATGTTTAGAAGATGAAGATGATGAAGATGACGAGTAGGAATGTGATATGATCTGCAGACATTTCTGAACAGCATTTTAGCAGCATGAAGGATGCCGTCCCTCAGTCATCGGTGCGGAGGCAAACTGTGCGGGGTGTTTGGAAACAAGAGGCACTACGCTGAATACACAGAACATTCAGAAAACCTGCCGCACATGGCGTGCTGTAGAGGACAGTTTTAAAGCTCGGGCTTCGCAGGGATGTTAAAGGGACATTCCAGATGCAACGGAGTGAGGTTCTGCGGAAAAGTGATGAAGAATGAATATCTTACCTGTTGTAGGAAGCTTTTTGAATGTCTGTCAGTGTACAGATTTTAAACATTACCGTAATTTCCACACTATTGAGCGCACCTGAATATAAGCCACGCCCACTAAATTAAAATAAATAAATAAATGAGTACACAAATAGGCTGCACTTGTGTATAAGCTACGGGTGTCCACATTGTAACATGAGATATTTAAACAGAAATATATTTTTTATTTTTTACTTTTAATTAAACACGTAACGGTAACATACACAGCTGGTTCAGTTTTTTAAATAATAATAATACAGTAGCCAACCAGCAAGTCTAACAAAGTTAAGTCAGGTCCACTGGACAGATTCTTCTTGTTGAAACATTTAGTCTTTTGTCCAAAAGACGTCGTCAGTCTGAGGAGCTGCAATAAACTCCCTGCTCCCCTTTGTAAGCTCCCACAACAGGGAAGGGAGGAGAGAAAGGGTGGGGTGGGGGGGACGAAGCATCTCCCCCCTCCCCACTGGACCAATGAAACCACTGGTTCATTGTGACCTGTTCGGTGATTTCATTGGTCAGATTTTTTTTATACAGGTAGTCTCAGTGAGTCACGAGGACCCACTCCCCAAGAGAGACGTGTATTGGGCAGCTATGTGAGCGCCCGGGTGTGACGAAGATAAATGTTTGGTGGCATGAAACTCATTAGTCCATCCATCCATCCATCCATCCATCCATCCATCCATCCATCCATCCATCCATCCATCCATCCATCCATCCATCCATCCATCCATCCATCTTTACCCGCTTCTTCCTTTTTGGATCGCAGGGTCACTGGTGCCCATATCCAGCTATCACTGTGCGAGAGGCGGGGCACACCCTGAACAGGTCTCCAGTCCATCACAGGGACACACAGAGACAAACAACCATTCACTCTCTCACTAAGGGACAATTTAGAGTTACCAATCAGTCTAACATGCATGTTTTTCGGCTGTGGGAGGAAACTGGAGTACCCGGAGAAAACCCAGGCACGCAAGGAGAGAACATGCAAACGCCACCCAGAAAGACCCCCAGGCAGGAATATGAGCCAAAGTGACCTGCTCGCTGAGAGGCAGCAGCTCTACCAACTGAGCCACCGCGCGGCCCTCGTTGGCCCGTCAATTATAAAAATAAAAATCCATAAATTAGCCGCAGCATTCAAAGCGTGTGAATTCAAACAGCAACGGGGTTCAGAGTGTGTTTAAAAAAAAAGAGGCTTATAGTCCGGAAATTACGGTAATTTTGCTTGATTCATCAGGAGAATTATAAAGAGTGGAGTTGTTTTTACATGGAGCTTTGGTCCTCACTGTGTTTGAACTAGCTTTTAGCTTTTCAGTCTTAAACTCTATTCCTCTAAGCTGAGACCTTTTAAAGAGTTAAAATATTATCCACATATTCCTTTTTCAGCTGATTTCCTGAGCAGGGAGCTGGTTCCTGTCTTCAGCAGTCCTTATGTTAGAAGTGGTGGACAGGTCATTAATTCATCATCACTTTTCCATAAAACACCACTTCATAATGGTCAGAAAATCCCTTTAATGCTCTCATTCTAACAATATACTGACATTTTTGAAAGTGTTATTTGGACCAAAGATTCACCTTTCCTAATCTTAAAATGGACAGTGCTGTCCATGATTTTGTCAGCACACTGAAACTGGCTCATGATCATGTTAATAAATTGTTTTAAAAGCATTACCAACAGGGGGACAAGTTTGCATTATTTAAATATTTAAGCAACCCATTAAAAAGTGCCACGTGCAGAAATTGCACCGTACTACTACTTTAGAAATATAAATATCTTTGTAAATAAATACAAGCAGAAATAAATAATAAAACTGTTAAAAATCTAAATATATCACAGTTTAAAACAAACAAAATTCAGGTAGAGAAACGAGAATGTGTCGGGAGAAATAATGAGATGGTGTCTGAGCACTTGCCGTGTAATTTTAGATACCCTAAGAGCTAAAATGGCAAATCTGTGTGGTGAAGTTTTAATGAGAATTCAGGAAACAGTGTTTAGATGCTCAGTGTCAGGACTCAAACATCTAAGACTGTCTTACATTTTTCTGCATGTATTTTTCTGTCTGATAAATCAAACCAGTTTAAACAACATAGTCATCCATAAAGAGAAGAGAAGACTGAACATGATTTTCTATGAATCGATGAACGGTGCAGCTTTAGGTACAGCTCCATGTGACTGGATGTGCAGAATAAGGCTTGATGTGTCACTGACAACAACTACAGTACGTCACACAAATGCAATCTGATACGTATCTGCTGCTACTCGCTCCACGTTCTGCACCCATCCAGCTACGTGCTCACCTCCGTTACAGTACAGTGACAGATTTGTCAATAGTTTCTTCACACTGAAAGACTCACGCGGCTGCCGAGGCCGGACATTACATGGACACTGAGGACGCCAGAGATGGACTGAGTGCAGAGTAAAGATGGCTGCTTGTGACAGTGATGGTAGAAACTGGGCTCAGCACAAGGAGAGCAATTAGAACAAGAATCTATGTACACCTTAGTTTTTGCATTAATCTTTCTCTCACATCCTCATCTGTCCGGCTCGTCTTCTCGACAGTTTAGACCTGAAAGAAGACACGAACACGAGTCTGTAACTACACACAAACTACTACATTAAAACAGCACTTCAGTTAACTACAGCGTGTGTAAAAGAAAAGTATTCACCCCCTTGATATTTTATCTGCTGCCTTACATGCAGTTCAAACAGAATGTTGTGGGGTTGTATATTTTAATTTAAACGACACATTAAGCACTGTCTGCAGAACTGCTCCATCTCTGAAGAGACAGCAGCAGTTACAGCTGCAAGTCTCTTCAGGTGTGTTTCCATGAGCTTGGTACATGTACCCTCCAGATGTTTTGCTCATTATCCATGACAGGTGTGATTCTAGGACCTGACCTTTAGGGGTGTTTAGCCCCCAGTGCACCTGGTGTTCCCAGGCTGTCTCTCATCCAAGAACTAACCAGACCCTGCTGAGCTTCTGAGATCAGATGAGACGGTGTATGCTCAGGGTGGTACGGCCATAAACAAGAAGCTCAGTCACAAATAGGACTTTTAAAGGATCATAGCAAACAAAGACTAAACTTGTGCAACCTTAAGTTACAACATATATCTACATAAAAACACACAAAACAACTCAACTAGCTTTAAGCATTAACCTTTAATTTAATCGTTAACCGATGACTCCAAAGTGTTTGTAATGCAAAATTCAAATACTGTAATGTTGTTGGAGGAAAAGGGGGAGGAGCTCCTGCAGGTAAGGGGCGTTTCACTTTGGGACAAATTGAGATCACCGATTGGTCAGTTGCTGACGAGCGTACTGGATTGATTGACAAGTGGAGTTGAGTATCTGACTTGTGCAAATAAATCATAGATTGTACTGATTGTACTGTCATCATTTATTCACTTTTATTTCAAATTTATTCCATATGTTGGTGAATCTAAGCTTCATTACAAAATCCTAATGACGGTTTCTTAATTTTTCAGGCGTGCTGAGTAAAAATTTATAAAAGAGGCTAAAATCACCACTGGTTCATGACCAAACTGCTCCTGCTCCTTCAGGTTGGACGGGTGCTGCCTGTGTTTGAAACAATCTTTAAAACAAACTAGAGACACTCAGACTGAGGTCTGGCCTGTAACTGGACTATTTCAGGACTTTTAACCCTTTTTCCTTACACCACTTTGCTCAGGTCATTGTGCTGCTGAAAGATGGACCTCTGTTCTGGTCTGAAACTGAAATCTAGTCTAAAGTACCCCCACAGCATGATGCTGCCACCACCATGCTTCACTGTGAGGATGGTGTTCATGATGAGAGGAGTTGGGTTTGCAGCAGACATGGTGTTGTCCTCAATGGCCAAAATGTTCTATTTTTGTCACATCTGACCACAGCACCTTCCTCCACTTGGTTGGACCTGTTGGTAAAGTTCTAACTGTTTACCCTAGATATTATATCATACATACAGAGGGCGGCTGTGGCTGAGTGGTTAGAGCAGTTGTCCTCCTATGCAAGAGTTGGTGGTGTGAATCCACCAGCAGTCACATGTTGAAGTGTCCCTGGGCAAGACACTGAACCCCTCATTGCCTGAGATGTGTGTCCCATCAGTTTATGAATGTGCTAAAGCTCTGATTGATCTTTTTAGAATGATTTGTTCAATTAGCCTTATAGAGAGAGTGCTGTATGAATAGATAAATGAGGACACAGATTGTGTTGTAAAGAGCTTTGAGTGTCTTGATAAGATAGAAAGGTGTTATATACAGTAAGTGCAGTCCATAAGTACATGAAGCCCAGCTCTCTGCAGGTCAGTGAGATCCTCCATCTCAAGCAGAAGAGCTGCCCAGCTCCACCTTCAGGGCTTCCTTTGACTAGATGTTTCTCTGCCCCTCTCTTATCAGGTTTAATATGGTGGAAGTTTTATAACCAACACTTTCTTCAATTTTGTCTGGCCTGTGTGAAGAGTTCCTTGGTCTTCATGCTGTCTCTTGCTCAGTGGCAGTCCTCACTCCTTACTGGAGGTTGTCAGAACCGGTTCATGTGTGCTGAAATCATTTGGCTTTTTTCTTGTCCACATGTGAATCTTATTAAAATACATATGACTGATCAGTGGAGAAATATAGTACATGGATTATAACTTGAAATCTTTTTGAATGATTTTAAACATGTTATTGTCCCATTTACCTTAATTAATTTCAAAGTATCTTGTGTTGGTCCATTACATATGATTTACCTGAAAATTCATTTAACTTCCAGTTTGTAAGGCAAGAAAATCGAATACCGGGGGGGTGAACACTTGCAACCATCAGTAACTCACCTGATAGTTCCAGCAAGGAGAGGGTTAAATGCATACAACCAGTCGTGCATTTCTTTGTCGTTAGCTGCTTGCAGCAATATTCCACGATGTTCTGTACACACAGCAAAAGCGTTTGGGGTCTGTTGAGAGAGCCACACACTCCTGTTACATGGTGCGTTAAAAAGACAAGAAAACCGTTTTATGGACGTTGGAGGATCACGGACCTTCAGCATGGCCTGCTGGTCCTCGCTGTACTCCACCTGGGCGGAGGACAGGTTGAGAATGGCTCGCTCCACCGCGTCTTTTTCTGAGTTGTAGATGTAAACGTACGGCCGACGTACAACGACGAAGCGTTTCACCCATCCGTTGGTGTTTGGCTCCAAGAAATGCAGGTAACCCTTTTTTGACACAATGGGGCTGAAACAGAAACAAATAATGACAACGTACGAACAAAGATGGCTGCACAACGCGATGAACCCAGATTCAGACTGACCTGACTCTGATCTCCTGGATATCTGGGACCAGTTTGCGAGTTCTAGGTTTAGTGTCGGACGCTCCGTTGACGGGTTTTTTGTCTTTCGCATCCGGCTGTATTTCAGGAGTAGGACTGGCAGCGTGAGAGCGAGGTGTGGGCGGTCTGCGTTACAAAGAAGCAGAAGGTGAGCTCCAGTAACAAAACACCTCCAGTCACTCTAAGAAAGACACAATCTGCAGTAAATCAATGGTTCCCAGCCCTGGTCCTTGAGGAACACCGTCCTGCATGTTTTACTTGTTTCCCTGCTTTGACACGCCTGATTTGAATAAATGGGGGATGAACAGGCTTTGGTAGAACTTGAAATAATTAAATCACTAAACCAGGTGAAACATCTGAAACATGCAGGATGGCGTTCCTCAAGGACCAGGGTTGGGAACCACGGCAAAGGAATGCAATGCAACAAAACCAACCGTGACCTTCAGACTGACCTGAGTTCAGCATTATTGTAGCAACCCTCAACCAGTGAGGGGCACGTGGAGGAGGGTGTGATTGTGTTGAGAGCGGTACTGGAGGGGGAGTCTCTGAGCATCGTGACGGACATCTCTGAGATCTGTGACAAACACACACAGGAGTCACTCGTGCAGAACCAGTCAGCAAACAGTTTGGACATGTTCCTCGAGCACATTTCAACAGAGGTCAGTTAAAGCAGCACCTTGCTCTCACTGGCGCTGACACACACGAGGCTGTAGTCTCTGTTGAAGGAGTGAGTGAGCAGCCGCAAACACTGAGAACAAATGAGAAAGAGATTAAATATGATGCTTGGTCATTTCAGCTGTGCCTTTTTTCTTCCACCCTGAACTGATGACATTCCCAAACCATGGCTGACCTTGGCTGCAAGCTGCTTCTGCCTCTCAGTGATGATCTCAGAGCTGGAGCTGGCTTCATGATCTGCCTCTGTGGTTTGATGAGACTCATCCAGGTCCTCGGGGACACAGGACTGCAGGGACTCCAGGCCTGTCTGCAAGGCAAACTCCAGCTTCTCCCTCAGCAGGAGGTAATGTTTGGTCTTCTCCACCTGAAAGAAATTAGGAATAATTATCACTGTTATGGGATGAGATGGAAAAGCTTTTGCCTCTCGGTGAGCAGGTCGCAGGATCAAATCCCAGCTGGGGGTCTTTCTGGGTGGAGTTTGCACGTTCTCTCCACACATGTGTAAGCACCATGCCTGGTGCTTACACATGTGTGGGTTTTCTCCGGGTACTCCAGTTTCCTCTCACAGACCAAAAACATGCATGTTAGTCTGACTGGTAACTCTAAATTGTTTCTAGGTGTGAGTGAGAGAGTGAATGGTTGTTTGTCTCGTTTTTTCTCTATGTGTCCCTGTGATGGACTGGAGACCTGTCCAGGTTGTACCCGCCTCTTTATTTTCATTCAACCTTTATTTATACAGGCTACTCTCATTGAGCCACAAGGACTCATTTACAAGAGAGACCTGTACCTCCCGCACAGTGATAGCTGGACATGGGCGCCACTGACCCCCATGACCCAAAAAGGAAGACGTGGGTAAAGCGAATGGATGGATGGATATCACAATTATGATCCAAAAGGCCTGAACAATAGAGAGAATTGAACTGCCTTAATTAAAAACCTTGTTTTTCTTTTGCAGAGGTCACACACTAAAGATCTGGAAATGTCTTTCCTGCCACAATCTGCTGCCTCTGGATTACAAAACTGCAGCACTGACCACCAAACTACTGCAGCCCTTCAAGCGCTTCTGATAAAATGATCAAACTTGATTAAAATTGGCAATCAGTTAAGTCAGAATATTGTAAACTTTATGACTCTTGAATATTTAGCTGATATTTTTCAGACTTCGTTTGTTTATAAATGGGAAAACGGCCCTTTGAGTTCGTTAAAGTTCAGCACCGTGTTGTATCAACCAGTTCAGCTCTCATGCTTATTGTAATACTGCAACCCACTCTAATGCACTGGTGAAACCAATATCATCAAATAAAGTAATAATATAAACATACCTTAAGCCAGGGCTATTCAACTGGCGGCCCAGGGGCTAAATCAGGCCCACAGATGTGCTCGGTTCAGCCCACAAGTGGGTTCATTTTTAAATAAAACTAGATTTTAAATCTTAAAACAAACTTACTTAATGAGAATAGCTGCTGGATGTCCGGCCCCTGAGCTCTTTGCTTTCAGTTACTGTGGCCCCTGAGCAGTTTAGTTGAACAGTCCTGCCTTAAGTGTTACCAGTAGAGTCCACCAGTGGACAGTCCATTACATGTTCAGAGTAAAACTTACAGATTTTAGTACAGTTTTATTTTAATAACAGTCATGTTGTGTTCTAGGCAGCACGGTGGCACAACTGGTAGAGCTGCTGCCTCTCAGCGAGCAGGTCCCTGGTTCAAACCCTGGTCCACGGGCCTTCTGGGTGGAGTTTGCATGTTCTATCCGTGCATGCGTGGGTTTTCTCTGGGTGCTCCGGTTTCCTCCCACAGACCAAAAACATGCATGTTAGACTGATTGGTAACTCTAAATTGTCCCTAGGTGTGAGTGAGAGAGTGAATGGTTGTTTGTCTCGTTTGTCTCTATGTGTCCCTGTGATGGACTGGAGACCCATCCAGGGTGTACCCCGCCCCTCGCACAGTGATTGCTGGACATGGGCACCGGCGACCCCCGTGACCCAAAATGGAATAAACGGGTAAAGATAATGGATGGATGGATGTTGTGTTCTTCTGACTTTTACTTATCGACATCAGCTGAACACAGAGTCAGGGGGTGTTGTGTTGTTCAGGAAGCAAGACCACACCCAGCACAGTGTACACCATCAGACACACCATCAGACACACCATCAGACACACCATCAGACACACCACCAGACACACCACCAGACACACCATCAGACACACCATCAGACACACCATCAGACACACCATCAGACAAACAACTATACAGCAATCTGTAAAAATGGCTTCAATAAGCAAAGATCTTGTATAACAATGTTAAATGGACTGTTCTTATATAGCACCTTTCTATCTAATCAAGATACAGTAAAGCTCTTTACGACACAGTCTGTGCTCTCATTTAGTGATTTTTTTGTGTTTTTAATTCCTGTGTGTTTTAAAGTATTTTGTAATGCTTGTAAAGTGTAATTATTGAGATGGTTGGTTTGAATTTTTATATTGTGAATTTGTTTTTATCTTAGGTATTTTATTATGTCTTTTTGCATGTTTGTAAAAGCAGAATTTAAATGCAATGTTTTTGGTGTGGACCCCTGGAAGAACAGTCTCTACGGTAGAAACGAATGGGGATTCTTAAATAAACAAATAAAATGAACCTCCAACACACACATTCATACAGCTCTCTAAACACCTCTACACAGATAATCTGAATCTTTACAAAGACTAATCAGAGCTTTATCACATTCATACACTGATGGGATACACATCAGAGACAATGAGGGGTTCAGTGTTTTCCCCAGGGACACTTTGGCATGTGACTGCTGGTGGAATTGAACCCCCACCTCTTGTACTGGAGGATGACTAATCTAACCACTCCTTCACAGCTGCCTCATGACAGCTTAGTGGCACCATGGCCTTAATGTTACTCTTTAAGTGACCTTGAAGCTGTGGTGATGAACACTGTCTAGTGATGGTGCATGTGCGTGTGAAGTTTAGTTAAATTATCTTGAGGGGATCAGAAGGTGGGACGAATGAAAGTTTTCAGACACATGGATGGAGACTATATCACAACACGTCCACCTTTCATCAGTGATATAATAAAACTGTAGAACTGTCACTTACATCTTGGAGGAGACTTAGCTTCTCCAGCTCCCACTGGTGCTCTATAATGAGGCTGTCGCTGCGGGGCCTCCACCCTGCCAGGTTCTCTTCTCCTCGGACATAGGCCACAGAGGTGTCCAGCACCCGCCTGCGCCTCCGTTGCATTCCTGATGGGAGACAGGAGCTTTGATTGCAAATTCTTCAACAGTGAGTCCGCACAGAAATAAATCTTTTCTCTTACCTGGACTTCCTGTATCAGCCTGGTGACATAAACTGGCCTCATAAACTCCAGTGACACGGTTTCTGGCAAGACAAGACAGTAAAAAATCAACTTTTACAAACTGAGAAAAGAGCTGCTGATTTGTTATTTTTTGTATGAGGTTTGAACCTCACCCATCTGCCGCCCTCAGGCTTCCTGTACCAAAAAGGTTGCGAATAGACCGGGAAGCTGACAGCTTTGTGTCCCGAGAGTAAAACACCATGCAGATGTCTTTGGTTATGACTGCCGGCTGCGTGCAGTTCTCCATCTGTGATTAAAGACGAGAGATTTCACCAGAGGCTGTGAGGTACTTCAGCCTCGTCTGGACACAGCGGGGTTCTGTACCTCCAGGTAGGCTGACAGGGTCATGTAGATCTTCTCCCCGTTTGGAGTCACTCGGTTGAGCAGCAGGGAGTTGTGCATGGAGCTGTCCCACGCTGCCTCGAAGCGGTAAAAAGTCCTGAGATGGTTCAGGAGAGGTGAAGGCAAGAAGCTAAGTTAAAATTTAACATCGTATGCTAACAAAATTTAAAAAACACAAATGGTTGCCTCTAAAGTCATGCTAATTTCTACTCATATGGACATAAACATAAAAACAGAAGCATTACATGTGGACGAAAGTGCTTCAGTTTGATTAAATAAGTGAGAACAGAATATGGTTTACAGCAACAACTCACCAAAGCCATGACAGAATATTTAAAAACTGTAATGAGCAGTTCAGCTAAAACAATAATGCAGATGTTGTGCATGCAGCAGGCTGATGATGCTCTGCTATGTACAAAAAATAAAATGAAATCACAGAAAAGCAGCAAAGAGGGAAATGATGGCAGATCGCACAGAGAAAAAGGAGTGGATGTATGAGAGAAGGTGAGGGACAGGGCAGTGGTACCTATGGTCAACTTCCAGTGAGATGCTGTGTGGAAGAAGAAGAACGCAGCACAAACAAAGAGTCAGGAAGTCTGTTGTGGCTGTGCACGTGTACGGCTGGGGTTATCTCTTTTAATCACGTCTGATTACACAAACTATGACGAATAAAGCTCACTATGTGAAAGGTTGAGCTGCCCTCCATACCATAACGTACACACACTTTCCCTCCGGGAGCAATAATCGCACGCTGAAAGCAGTTCTTACTCTGGCTCCCTTACATCTACAAGGACTATGCAAAGAAGAAGTGTAAAAGAAAAGCAGTGTTTCTGTTAGCCATAAAAAACAGGCTGAACGGGCTCTTCATGAGCTTCAGATGTTCGGCCCGCTGGCCCTGGACTGAAATGACCTTGTGGGAACGTGAACAGCAGCAAACAGCCTCTCACGGGTGCTGGAGTAACAACAACAACACGCTGTGTATGAAAAGGTGACACTTATGTTTCCACAACTAATTAGCAAGTTCATTAACACACATCACACTAACGCAGCAGAGAGCTGCTCGCTCGTAATGCAAGGAAGCCGTTTCCTCTTCACGCACTTCCATCGTGAGCTTCTCTGGATTTTACTGGCTCTTAAAAATGAAGGAGCCAGCACTGAAGTCATGCTACTGGCAGGACATGTGAGGGACCGTTTGGCAGAGAAACACTTGAAAATATTCACAACATAACCGCAGCTCAGGATCAAGTGCTAACAGTGAGGTAATGGTTCAGTGGCTTTTATATTTTGATAGCTGGACTGAAGGATTTAGCCAAAGTGAGTATCGTACGTGATGTGATCCAAGGTGCAGCACCTGAGTTAGGAGGACTGGTGGATGTTTTATTCTTCCGCAGCAGAGACGGGAAACAATCGGACTCTGAGGGTCAGTGGTGTTTGTACAAAAAACTTTACTCTTAAGGTCAACAGAGAACTTTTTCCATCAGTTTTTGATTTTCTGATTTCTATCCAAATTTTAAAAGCTAGCTTTTATCGCCCCCTACTGGCCAATTGTATTAATACATATAAATTGTATTAAAAAATCAAGTTGTGCAGCTAATAGGATTAAATCACTTTGTAAGAAACTGAGCATTTAACTCAATTTGATCTCCTCAGAAATTAGTAATCAAACAATTTATAAATCAAAACAGGAAGTCTTTTAAACTTTCTGTCCAAAGGTGCAGCATCCGACTGATGATTTCTAAAAATCACTGCAGCAGCTGCTCAACAGTTTGACACCTCCAGCCAAATGTGAAGCAAAGCAGGAGCATGCAGACCCCGTCCATCACACAGCCCAAACACACGTCCAGGACGAGTCGTGGACACATGCGAGACCACATCGCTTCTCATGAGGGGGAGGGCAAAAGAAAAGACAAACAGTCAAAGGTCATGGCAGATCAGGTGAAGGGGACAACACATCACAGACTGTTGATTAGAGATGACAAAGAGTGGAGGAAGATGAAATGTTTGTGTAACTTATCATACAAACAGAGGCAAATAATATACCTAGGCATGTCCGAATCAAGAAACTGTCTGCAGAGCAAAAACAAAACAAAGCAAAAATAAAAGGATAAAATGTTAGCATCCATTAGTTCAGCATCTTAAACCACAGCTTGAAGCTCAGAGATCAAATGACAGTTTTGACCAGTCGGGTCATTAACAGGATTTTTTAATATATTTTTTGTTTTGGCTGCTCCCTTCTTCTGAGGTCACCACAGAGAAATGAGTTGCATGGACTTGGGAATTATTTTTACGCCTGATGTTCTTCCTGACACAACCACAGACCACTGAGCTACCACGGCCCTCTGTGTGGAGCAGAGAGCTGACATCTGGGGCGCCCAGGGGAGCAGATGGTGGGGGTTAAGGGCCTTGCTCAAGGGCCCAGAGTGGGGCAAATGAGGGTGGAGACAGGTGTGAGTGTTTCACCTTTCCACCCACATTTTGATGTTGTTGGTACCAGGATTGAAACCAGCGATCTTCCGATCATAGGCCCACTTTCTCTAACCTCTGCACCACTACTCCCTATTAACAGGATAACAACTTAAATAATAAATAATAAAACATTTGATTCACTGGGACCTCTGGTTAAAGCAGCATGGAGCACTGCTTTAGACTGAAACTTAACTCAAACTAAAACTAAACTCAAACAATGACATCACTATTAAACTGAATTAATCAGCAAAACATCATATGTCACAAGAAGTAAATAAATCCCTCTATTTTGCTCAAAAATAACAATATTAACTACAGTTCTGACTGGACTGCTTTTGATCTGCAACACTTAAAATACGCTTGGATCTTATATTCAATTATTCCATAATTATTAGCAAAAAAGACATTGTTTTCATATGTGATGCAAATAGTTTGATGTAAACTGAACTGGTCCAAATCACTGGCACATCACTAAAATTCAAGGACAAAATTTGGAATATTTTAAATGGAAGAAATTTCTATAAAACCAGTAAATAAAAAAAAAAAAAGGCCAATACAATCCGTAAACATCAACTTTACTATGAACAAATTATTTGACTGCAGACTCTTTGGTGTCATGTGATCTTTTTGATCCCAGAGGCACCAAAACAGCCTCACAGCGCAAACACCAAACGCTTCCTTAACGTTCTCTTGAAGACCGTCTGATTCTGTCTGCAGCAACACTCATGCACTGCAACACCAAACAGCACTTCTTTACTTATACTATTAGAAGGATGTTTCGCCCATTCAGAAATGGGGATTTATGGAATCATTAAGACTAATTATTGTCTTACTTATACTACATAGCTTCTAAATGACCCCATTTTGTATAAATACTGTCTTCTTAAAGCATATATATATATATATATATATATATATATATATATATATAACCTCCCAAACCCCTGGACTTCTACTGTGCAATACTACTGACATTTCATACTCTCAATCACCTTAACTACCTCACTAATATCCATAATGTGCAATACAATTGTGTAATACTTGTATTTTTTTTTTTTTTTTACTTTCATTATTATATCTATATTGCGTTACATTTTTTATATTTTTAGTGTGTGTTTAGTGTGTGTTTAATGTGTGTTTTCTTAAGGCGTGTTTTTGCACTGGAAAAAGGAGTGGCTCTTAATTTCATTGTA